ATTTACACTAATAACAACTGTGGTTGCGCTACTCCGGTGTTTTCGCATCATGTCATAGGCAAACATCATATTTTAGTATGAAGCTAGTATAAAATTTCAGCAAAAATCAAATTTTAAATAATTTGGAAGACTTGTGCATTTCATGCACACGAAGCCAGTCATATATTTTAAGAAAAAAAAAGCACACAAACAAAATCCAAGCATCACATTCAAAAATATTGTCTCACCTACCCATGCACATATATATTTAATAAGTGTGCAATAAAAAGAAGAGTAGAAAAAATTTACCAAGAAACTTACATACGCATGAGCTAGAAGCTATGTGTGCATTTGCTCTGATATTAGAGTTTTTTCTATATGATTTTGTCCAAGCAAAATACAACATGTTCGCTATTGGTTTGATTGCTGACTTCCCTAACAAAATAGCATTGATCATACAAAAATAATAAGTTCGATTGTTTATACGTTTGAACAGACATGTTTTTCCCATTGCGTGTACCTTTTCAGAATTCATGATTTTTTTAACAGAGGCAAATTACATGTCTTTATATTTCTATGTTTTTGTAGCTACGTTGCTAGCATAGGCAACCATCTCCGTTCTTTTTACAATAAAGACCTTTAAGATCTTATTTACGCCAAAAGCTAGAAAAGGTGTGATAGCACTCCTCCCTAATTGTTTCCCTTTGTAGTTCTCTTGTTCACACAATCCATTACCATAGTAGCCTTGACGACTCCGCTGCCAAGCATTATACTAGTCCATGCTGTTATTGTACCAGCGACAAAAACATAGAAATATAAAGACATGTAATTTGCCTCTGTTAAAAAAATCATGAATTCTGAAAAGGTACACGCAATGGGAAAAAACATGTCTGTTTCAAACGTATAAACAATCGAACTTATTATTTTATGTATGATCAATGCTATTTTGTTAGGGAAGTCAGCAATCAAACCAATAGCGAACATGTTGTATTTTGCTTGGACAAAATCATATAGAAAAAACTCTAATATCAGAGCAAATGCACACATAGCTTCTAGCTCATGCGTATGTAAGTTTCTTGGTAAATTTTTTCTACTCTTCTTTTTATTGCACACTTACTAAATATATATATGCATGGGTAGGTGAGTCAATATTTTTGAATGTGATGCTTGGATTTTGTTTGTGTGCTTTTTTTTTCTTCAAATATATGACTGGCTTCGTGTGCATGAAATGCACAAGTCTTCCAAATTATTAAATAATAAATAAATTAAATTATTAAATTAAATTATTATTAAAATAAATTATTAAATAATATTTATGAATGATTAGAAAAATTAACAATAAATAATATTATTCACCCTTATATAAATAATTTTATTTTAAATAGTTATAAGTAATATGTAATTAATAGTTAATAGTTCTAGTTAATTTTGTATAATTAGTTATCTAAGGTTTATAATTGTATTCTATATAATTTAAGTAATAAAATTTAGTTAATAATTCTATTGTATTTGATATAAGAATATAATAATAAAAACTTAATATATAAAAAATAATCAATAATTGTATAATATGGTTTTTATGAATATTACTGTATGGCATAGCCGAGTCTTGATAGCCAAACATATTAAGAGCATTTACACTAATAACAACTGTGGTTGCGCTACTCCGGTGTTTTCCATCATGTCATAGGCAAACATCATATTTTAGTATGAAGCTAGTATAAAATTTCAGCAAAAATCAAATTTTAAATAATTTGGAAGACTTGTGCATTTCATGCACACGAAGCCAGTCATATATTTGAAGAAAAAAAAAGCACACAAACAAAATCCAAGCATCACATTTAAAAATATTGACTCACCTACCCATGCATATATATATTTAGTAAGTGTGCAATAAAAAGAAGAGTAGAAAAAATTTACCAAGAAACTTACATACGCATGAGCTAGAAGCTATGTGTGCATTTGCTCTGATATTAGAGTTTTTTCTATATGATTTTGTCCAAGCAAAATACAACATGTTCGCTATTGGTTTGATTGCTGACTTCCCTAACAAAATAGCATTGATCATACATAAAATAATAAGTTCGATTGTTTATACGTTTGAACAGACATGTTTTTCCCATTGCGTGTACCTTTTCAGAATTCATGATTTTTTTAACAGAGGCAAATTACATGTCTTTATATTTCTATGTTTTTGCCAGCGACCCGTTTAAGTCAGCTAAGTTACCTATGTTAACATGTGAGTCAATGTGGAAATGTAAGCTAAACAGTGAAATCGACTTTAAGTATGTCATTTTATATTTAAGATGATTTAGTCAATTTGTGATAGTAGTTTTAACTATATTATGCATATCTATGCTCCAGAATTAGAACAACGCGAGGAATAAAATTTAACAGAACGTTTTAAGCTTTAAACCCAAAATGTTCGTTTGGAAATTATAATAATCGCCAAATATAACTCAATGATATGAAATAAAAATGTACTATACTTTAAAAAAAAAAATGCATTCGTTTTTAAGTTAGAAATGTAATATTCGGGGTATTCAGAAAGAACTCGGGAATTCAGTATTCTATAAGTGCTACGGGGCAGCAAATGATAAGAGAAAGTTTATCAAATGTCTAGTTACGATGTGCAGACAAAATATTCATATATGCATTTATTTTTTATTCCAAATAAAATAGCTTCTTTGTTTATTTTAAAATTAAAACTTATTAGTTATTTAAATTCATTTCAAAAAATATACTATTAGCGCCATCTCTGTGCGAATAGTTGAAATAATATTGATTTTTCCTTCACTCTTTCATTGAGATTTTCACTTTCGCCAAAAATGAAAATTGTGCTTAACTTCACCTAACAACAAGAGCAGAAATAGTATCGGTATTTTCAATAGGTAGACAAAGATATAAAATATTACTAAAAAAAATAATTAATTATTTTTTATATATATTTTAGGCTGATACCGTTTCAAAATTAACATATCAATAAATAAGTATAATTGAATTTGCATTTATTTTTATTATTGCTTGAGAACAGTAATTGTAATTGTTGCGCATGGTGGAAAAGCCCAACAAGTGGAAGTTATTGTGATAAAATAAATTTATAAAATATTTCTATTATTGACGACATCACTTCATCATAGTCACCATAGGTCTTGCAGAGACAGCTGTATTGGATATAATGGCTGCTAATCTACAGCAGCAACGGATCATTAATCACCAGTTGAGGCGTGAAGTAGACGTACCACGGATGCAGGTATCCGAAGCATGTTTGCTCATAATGAAGTACATATCGGACCATGAAAGTGATGATTGCCTACTTAATGGTTTCACTAGCCAGAAAGTCAATCCATTTAGAGAGAAAGCTTCCTGTGCAATTTTGTAAGCTAGCCTAACACTAAAAGCAATTATGTAGCTCTAATCTAAAGTATTATATTTTTATGTATATATATAATATATATATAACATATGTTTATCATTTATAGCAAAACATATATTATAATAATTTTTTTTTAACTGTGTGCAATGATAAACACTAGACTTTTTATAAAGTAACTATAACGATATAAATACATACATATATATACATATACATATACATATAAGAAATTAGCCAAAATATCTATTACTGAAATGTTAAAGTATTACTAAAATTTAGACATATTTATTGATATATTAACAAATACAGCCGTCTTATTCTACTAAGAAAACTCTATTTGCATATAAAATAAAATGTACTAATATTTATTTATGCTTTTAGAATTATATGAAACAATATTTATATATATGTATATATAACACATATACATTAATAAATTTATATATTTATATGCATGTAATTCGAAAATATTATATATACAAATAAAATGTTAACTATTGTAGTAAAAATATTTAATAAAATAAAAATTACAATATAATATAAATGGTTTTTGTATTTGTGTTGCTGATAAAGCTACGCTTTCTTTATAATGACAAAGAAGCTATATGTAAAATTTAGAGGGTCTTCGAATAGCAAAGAAAGAAAGGAGAAATGGCTGACCATACTCATAAGTGCTCATAATCAGTGGTCTTAGGAAATAATCGAATTTTAATTAGTTTATAGTCTGTATATAATTTATTTGGACTGCAAGTGCCAGGCTTAGAACTCGTGCCTGTCAAATTAGACAGACAAATCTTAAAAGTGAAATTTAGGAGACTTGTAGATTATGTTAATCTGGCTAGATGCGAGGTACGCATAGGTTGGCCTCTAACGGTAACCAGATAAAATGAAAACTTTATGCAGATTTTGTAGCAAGCATTTTTGGGAATTTAAAGATTACGAATTATAGGTCTATTTCTGACACAGCGGACTATAATCTACAGTGAATTGAATACAAAAATATCAAATACAATAACAATAAAGCAGCAAATACACACACATATGCAGGAATTATATACGAGTATGTGTACAAATTACTAGGTATAGATAGTACTCAATCCTATGAAGTATGACCTTCATTAATTCGACGGTTAATTATAAAAAATGGTTTATGTAAACAATCAAATCAGCTGTAGTAATTAATGCATATATTAAAAATATTATTTTCAGATGGCTAAAACGCTGTAGCTGTCAACTATAGTATATAACTGTACATATAATAAATTTCTTCATAATAAATAAATTTAAAATAAAATAAAATGAAATAAAACAAAAATACTTCTACTACTTACAAGTATTTTGTATTCTGTTTCTACTATTAATCCTATTATTTTTGTTTAACAAAGTTTAATACGTTTTATAAAAAAACTCATACTGATTACCCTGATACTGATAACAGAGAACAGTAGTGGCTCTAAATCAAAAATAGACGTCACCGGTACTTAACCTAGTACTAACATCCATTTCGCAGAAAAAATTGCGATGAGTCTATGTAAAGAATTATTTCTAATTATTTTCTATAATATAATTTTCTATAAATAATTGGCAACGCGGCGTCATCGAGAAGATTCTACTGTCAGGTGCTACGCTTATTGTGAATGACCATTTAGTTTTGTAGCCGATTGTCAAATAACGCGTGTTGAGGTTAAAACGTATTCGCCTTAGTTTTTCGTTAGTGAAGTTCTTCTATAAAATCTGTGCATTAAAATGGCTTTATCTGTACCAAAAGCGCCCGGAGTGGCTCAAATGCTTAAAGATGGAGCAAAAGTAAGTAAAATATGTAAAATAAACAAAGTTTCATTTATATATCCATATAATATATGCATATAATTGTACAAAAATGAAACATGCTGAAGTACGCCTTCAATGGCTAAACGGTATTAGTCATCGCGAGTAATACAAATTAAATTATATACATTTTAATAAATTAAATTCATTTAGTATGTGTATAAATAGTAAAATACAAATAATTTTAGATGTACAGTGGTTTGGAGGAAGCTGTATATCGCAACATTACCGCATGCAAAGAATTCTCACAGACCATGCGTTCCGCCTATGGACCAAACGGTATGAACAAAATGATAATTAATCATATCGAAAAACAGTTCGTAACCAGTGATGCAGGCACAATAATGCGTGAACTGGATGTTGAACATCCAGCTGCAAAATTAATCGTTATGGCAAGTCAAATGCAAGACGCCGAAGTTGGTGATGGCACCAATTTTGTAGTTGTCTTTGCCGGTGCACTGCTTGAAGCTGCTGAGGAATTGCTACGCTTGGGTATTACTACTGCCGAAATTGCTGACGGCTATGAAAAAGCATTAAACAAATCTTTAGATATATTACCAAAATTAGTTTGTCATGAAATTGAAGATTTTCGTGATGTAGCGAAAGTGAAACGCTGCCTTAATGCTTGCATTATGTCAAAACAATACTCTGAAGAGGAATTCCTAACTGAATTGATAGCCAAAGCTTGCGTTTCAATTCTACCAGATAAAAGCACTTTTAATGTTGATAATATACGCGTCTGCAAAATTCTCGGAAGTGGCTTAGCTAAGTCAGAAGTAGTGCGTGGTATGGTATTTAAGCGTTTTGTTGAGGGTGACGTGACCTATGCAGAGAAAGCAAAAGTTGTCATTTTCTCTTGCCCAATTGATATTATACAAACAGAAACTAAAGGTACTGTTCTAATCAAAAGCGCTGACGAATTGATGAATTTCTCTGCTGGTGAGGAGAACTTGTTGGAATCACAAATTAAATCTATTGCTGAAGCTGGTGTAAAGGTAGTTGTATCTGGTGGCAAAGTTGGCGATATGGCTTTGCATTTCCTTAACAAATATGGACTTATGGCAGTACGCTTGAACTCAAAATTCGATTTACGTCGCTTAAGTCGTGCAGTAAATGGTACAGTGCTTCCTAGAATTGCCACACCAAGTCAAGAAGAATTAGGTTATTGCGATAAAGTATGCATTGAAGAACTGGGTGATACCACTATCGTCGCATTCAGGTTAATATACACTTAAAGTTTATGCAACAATCATAAATATTTACTAATTTTTTTTATTTATCTCAACAGAAATGAAGGCGCTGAGTCACGTATTGCCACAATTGTAATACGCGGTGCTACAAACAACTTTATGGATGATATTGAACGTGCACTTGATGATGGTGTTAATAACTTCAAAGGACTGACCCGCGATGGTCGTTATGTGCCAGGTGCAGGAGCAACTGAAATCGAGCTTGCTACACAACTTGCCGCCTATGCCGATACATTACCCGGCTTGGAGCAATACGCAGTGCGCAAATTCGCTACTGCTTTAGAAGTATTCCCCAAGGCTTTAGCTGAGAACTCTGGTGTTAATGGCACAGAAATTATAAATCAATTGTATTTGGCGCATAAAGATGCTGCTGGTAAAAATATTGGTGTTGACATTGAAGCTGAAAAAGCAGGTACTGTTGATGTCACGAAAAAGGATATTTTCGACTTATTCCAATCAAAGTACTGGGGTATTAAATATGCTGTGGGTGCAGCTAATACTATACTCAAAGTTGATCAAATCATTATGGCCAAACGTGCAGGTGGTCCAAAACCAAAGCAAAACACTGGCAGTGATGATGAAAGCTAGAGTAGACGTTAAGCATTCATTATTAATATTTATTTCTACACAGATTTATAACTTTACTTGAACAAACTCACCTTCTATCATTTTAATTTCGTATATTTGCTGCATATACTTTTAGCGAAAACAAATAATATAAAATTTAAATTAAATATCACAATGATATAATTGCTAAAAGTATTTATTAATATTATAATTTAATTTAATTACATTAATGCAAACCGATAATGTAAAGCTAATATAAAATTTAATCATTTTTATTATGAAAAAACGAATGTTTTTACACAACTAATAAAAAATAATACTTCATCAAAAAGGAATTATATTATTATTTTATATTAATAGAACTTTGACAATAATATCTCAAATTATTAGCTCATCAAATTTTATAGATTCGAATAATATAAAGTAATATGTAAAAAATATTTAAAAGGGTGAGAAAAATTGTTAATATAATAATATCGTTTGCAGCAATGACTAGGCATAAAATGTAAATTATTCCCACTTCCGTTTCAAAAGATATATTACACCTAATGCCACTGCAAGTAAGATTAGTTATTTATAAATGGACAATCAGAATTTAAGTTCTCAGATCCACATAAGAGAATCCCAGTCTTCTTCCGTTTTAAAATGCCACTGCAAGTCTTAAATGGCGCAAATGCCTAATATCACTGCAAATAAGATCAGTTCCTTTCTAAATCGACAATTAGAATTTGAGTCTTCAGATCCACAAAAGGGAATCTTAGTCTTCTTCCTTTTTAAAAGATATATTAGACCTAATGCTACTGCAAGTAAAATCAGTTCCTTGATCTGAAGACAATTAGAATCTGCGTCTTCAGATCCACATAATAGAACTAAAGCAAAATGTTGCCAAATATTCGATAATGACAAGCAAAGAAATTATAAGGAATTTAAGTCCCGAAAAAAGTTCGTATTTGAGCTAAATAAAATAGAATAGATCTTGAAAATGACGCATATAATTTAAAATTCTGTACCTCAAAATATCATACGAATGATACTATAATAAAATTTAGCAAATAACTGGAAGTACATATTCCAAATATTATCTCTTCTGAGCCACTAGAACATCAAAAATCATCTTTTAGGTTGTGGTATATTATTATTTTAATCTAACGAGAGTATATATTTATATATCTCGCCATACTGGCCTGTAGACATGCCGCGATTAATGAATTGGACTGATTACTGAGCAGGTCTAAACAAATGGAAGTAAAACGTCTTAATGGAAGTATTAACAAAGAAAAAGACAAAATATTTATGAAGCTGTCGGGGAACCTCAGTACGAAGCTTTTCAAATAATTCGATTATCAAAAAGGATAATCGAATTATCCAAATATCGATTAAAATATCTGTAGAATATTTGGCAAGAGAAAACATGTATTCGTTAAACCTTTTAAGCTTTATTTATTCTAATAAAAGACATTAATAGTTGTTGCAAATTTATTGCAATACTAAATTGTCATTAAAACGCAAAAATTTATTTGAATTTTGTTAGAATTAAAGACCGAAAACAATCAAACCATAAGAAAAGTTCATAGATATCAAATTAATCGACTTTAAATTAACTTAAATAACATTGCACTATATATTATAGCCTGTTTAAGCTGGCATTGATTTATTGCAATAATAAAAATTATTGCAATTAACCAATATAGGTGTTCAAACTATACATTTTGAATTAATGCAATTAAAGAAGCATCAAGTGTTATTGTTTCGTTTTAATTCTGCAAATTCTACATGAACTGTATTAAAAATGTAATGGTCTGTTCCCGAACTTTTCACATATCGTACAGTACGAAGTCACAACTCGGTCTCACAAAATCTCTCATCCTACTATGCATTTGGTACTAGAACAGAAAATAGTAAAATAAAATAAGAATTTACTTGATTTTTACTAAAATTACGTACTGGAACAAACGTAACATATCATGGAGAAAATGAAAAATTAATAACAAAAAAATAATTTTAGGTCTGTTCCACGAGCTACTTATAGTAACTTTGAGTAAACACTGCGTATACAGAAGCGCGTTCCACTAGCAAATTTTCAAGTATTTTTGTGTAAATTTTACTTCTGTTTTACTCATGTTTTACTATGAGTAGCTCGTGGAACAGACCTATTATTTTCTTTAAAAAATGAATTAATTAAGGATGTAATGAATTAATTAAGGAAGCATAAACATTACACGAATAATATAATATCAGGCAGCGATTGATTTGGTACTGGAATAAAAAATAATAAAACCCAAGTAATTTTTCAAGGAACATTTGTTTACCTTTTTTGTAAATATGTCAAAAACAGGTTTCTCAAACTGTTAAAATGCCAAGAAAAGCTTTTATACCCTAAATGTTCAATTTGCATTTGGAGCATATTTCGAACTCATTTTAATCTCGTTGGAACTCATTTATACAGAATGAGATGCAATGGATCTCATTTGCGCTTAAGATTTTGTATGCAAAAATTAGGCATTTGCTTTTCATTTTTGATTTTTGACCAAAATGAGGCCAGTGTAAATTTCACATTAGATATTTGTTGAAGTTGTGTAAATGCAATGTTGTATTAAATGAAATAATTAATATAATTCTAAGATATACGATATAACAAATTATTTACAATTTCTATTTATACTACTTACATTATTTCATGTAAGAAAAGTTACTTTTTGTAGTTTTATTTTAAAATTTTATTTATATCAGTTGTATACAGTATAAACGATCAGTAAAATATTTAATATATTTTTAAACATTGGTAGCCTTTTAACTACTTGGTAACCCTCACATTATGGAGCAACAGCAACAATAATAGTGTATGGTAACACTGTATGGCTTTGTTTTGCCCGCACTATCCAAATGTTAAACGAAATTGCTCCACATCAGTGTTCGCATACGTAAAAAAGAAATAGCGTTTTTGTAATGAATTTTTTTTAAAACAGTTTTGATTTAAATAATAAAAACTGAAAAAATAAACATATATTTTTGTGAAAAATTTAATTTTTTATAATAATATAAAATTGCAATTGTTTAGTGGCGATTTTTCCTGTGGAGTTTTACTAAAATGTATGTGGCTAAAAAAATAATTTGATGGTTGTATTTTATATATTATTCGATTTAAATCACTTTTAAAATAATTATTGAAAAACTTGTGTTAAAAAAATAGTAAGCTTTAAATTTTTTAAATTTATTTAATATCATTTTAATTTTAATTTTTTACAATTTTTAGAATCACAACAAAAAAAAACGAACAAATAATTGTAAGCTTACACTAAACTTGCTTTGCTAAGAAAATGGTAACCATAATTATTCAAAATTATTTATATATATTAAATGGAGTTGATTTTTAGAGTAAACCTGGCATCAATCTAACGAAGGATATGGTAGATGAGGCTATCGAGTCTCTCGCTAATAAGCGATATATACCAACATTTGGAAATATATGCTCCCATATTGAGAAAAAGTACACCAAGGGTGAAAGTTCAATACCATTTGAAGGCAAGTTGAAGTTGCATTGGTATCTTACTATGCTCTATCAAGGCAATCAGTTAGAAATATCGAATAAAGTTGAATATACCATACCAAGAGTAATGGAAATAGCTCAAGGCAAATATGAAACCAACCAAAAAAAGCAATAATATTCAACGTCAACCAGAAACGCTTTTCTTATTTAAGATAAATGATAGATAGATTTTCAACTGCTCACTATTTATACTTTAGTTAATTAATATACCAATAATTCTTGGTTGGAGTATTCTTTTTATTTATTTTAAAATATTTTAATGGATTTGAAACGTTTTGTTAAATATTTTAATTTTAACTTGAAAAGTCTGATTATTTTAATATACGTGCAAAATACCAGGACTAATTTGGACCAAATTATATAAATCTCCCACTAGCAAATGATTTTTGATCGCGAAATTTTTATGTTCATCTATCTTTTTCAAGTTTCATCGCTATGCCTCGAAGTTGAACAAACTGCGCACTTGATAGGTGTTCTAACTAAAATGAAACCAATTCAATACTAAAGTATATGTATTAGTAGGCCATCCCGGTTTCTTCGAAATACATACAATAAGACTTGGTCTACTGTCTATCGACTTCTATTGGGGTTATAGTTCTGTGAATAAGTCGAAAATAAGTCTGCTTCTTTCACCAAAAAATTTTATTCAGTTTTTCAATATTTTAAGCTTTAAATTTTAATGTTCAACTATCTTTTACTTACAACTCAGAATAAAGTTAGTCTTATCGTTTGCAGCTGGTGTAGTGAGAAGATTTCCCAGAACTTAGACAAATCAAAACACTGATCAAACCAAACTTCTGTAAAAACATTTTTAAATTCTCAACAGGTAATTTTAGGTTACTAACGGGCTTCATTACGCAGCATTAAGGTCTGAAATATCACCTATATAAACTTTAATTATCTGCTAATCCTGAAAGGAGATTATGCCTCTAAGATGATGAAACAACTATGCACATTCTTTGTGACTATCCGACTTTTACAACGTACAGAAGAAACTTATTTCATGTGGAATTTTTATTACCAGTACAGATTAAGCGCTCTTCTCCAGATTTCGTTCTGGACTTTGTTCACAAAGCTTTAAAGGGCTTTGTGTAATTAAAGTAAATTTGGTACATTATGATTCTTCTGGCCGCAGTACCGAATGTTAAGCGAATTCACGCCACTAGTTTTAATAATAATAATATTTTTGAAACGTTTTATCGCTATGTCTCTTAAACAAAATTCACAGAGTCAGGTGATTTAACTAAAGCGAAACCGATTTAGTAACAGAGTATCGAGGTTATAAGGTTTGATCTTCCCTCTAACGACTTATGTCGGGATTATGGTTTTACTGATGAGTTGGAAACGACTTCATGTTTCAACTTCCTTCATTTAAAAGATTTTTTTTAGTTTTTCGATATTTTGTGCTTGAAGTTTCAATGTTAATCTATTTTATTGAAAAATTTCATCGCTATGCCTCTGTATTTTTTAACAGTATAAATTCGCAACTTCTTATAAATATTTTTATTTCTGATTGACTGTGTATCTATATTTATATATCTATAAAAATTAATTTTTTAATAATTCATTAAAATAAATCAAAATCTCCATTATTCCAAAACAATTCACATTACGTAGAAAACTGTATTATTTTGAATATAATAGGTCTATTCCACGAGCTACTCGTAGTGAAACTTTACGAGCAAAGTCTGTGTAGCATTTTCAAATTTCGACAGGGATGTTACGCTCCCTCAATTGCTCTCATTTACTCGAAAATTTGTTGCTCAAAGTTACTACGA